GGGGGGGGGGGGGGGTAGGGATTAGCAAGGAAGGCTTTTTATAGTAAAGCAAGAAAAGGTTCACTAATGATGTTACAGGATGATAATTCCTAGGCAAACAGCTTTTATTAAAAAGCTCATTTTCCCCATAATTGTCAGCTCTCTTCTAGTTGCAAGAAGACTGCAGTCCAAGTCCATGCCCCAGGAGTTGGCTTGGGAGTAGGTTCTGAGGTTGGTTTGGTTTTAGTTTTTTGTGGGGAGGAGTGGGGGTGCAGAATGGCCAGGGAATGGGAAGCTGTTTCCATGAGAGACTAAAATGCATTGAGTTTTGGGAAATGTATAGAGGTGAAATAAACACCAGATGGGGCCTGATTCTCTGGATGACTTGCAGGAATGGTAAGAGAACTTTAAGGGGAAAAGAGACCTAAAAGAGATCAGTGGTAGATGATACTTTAAGTGTTAAATCCTCATGTTAAACATTTGCATCTGATCTAGTGGTGTTCTTCTTCCCCACCCTGGCAGTAATAGCTGGGTGGTTGCTGTGCCACCAGCAGCTTGTGGCTGCCCAGTCAGCATCCAGTTGGGCACACCTAGAAGCACAAGCAGCTGTGCACAGTTGTAAACCCCTGAAGTTATCACTACTTACGCTTACAGTATGTAGTAGAGAAATACCCACAAGAATGTCCAAGACCCCTGACAAGGGATTAATAAGGATGATACTACATTGGAAAAGCAACTATTTAAAACTCAAACAGAGATGTGGACACTAACTTAGCACAGTTAACACAGGCCAGAGCTAGGTTTGTTGGGTTTCTATGTTTAGAAGGTGGTCTGTGCCTGGAGGCTACAATATAATTACTATGATGGTATAATCCACCTCTTCAACTTCTGCTTGTTGGCAGCTGTATGAAAATGATCTAATGCAAACTAGCAGCATTTGGGACTCTTGAGTGCTATCAAAAGTTACTTTTAAATGAATCTAGAGCATCTTGATTGTTTTTAAGGCTGCCTTGCCAGAGAGAGAGATAGATTAGTGAGATTTTTCCAATGTGGGACACAGACTTCTACATTCTAATCTAGAAAAATGAATCCACAAGGCAGTCTATTCATGGCATTTTGAATGCTGCACTTCACTAATTGCCTGTTCCATGTTCAATAGATATTCAGAAGGAGGCCAAGTAGTGACCTTTTATGCATGTTTCTAAACACTGACATTTTATCACAAACTTGCAACAAATTTGACTGGTTGCAGCCCTGCTGCCTTTTTCTTCTGTGGGAGAAATGGCTCCTGCTTATCTGAAAAATGTGAATGTTGAGCAGAGTTCTGTATAGGAAATGCATGTCCCGCTGGTGTTGTAAGATGTCAACAACGCTGGCATTTGCTACAGTGCAGGTAGGCTTGGCAGTACTTGATTTCTATCAGTAAAAGTCAATTGTCAGTAATCACTGAAATTTACAGGAGCTGGGGCTGGGAGAGAGGGTTGAAGGGGCAAGGCTCTTGGCAGCCAGGAACCTGGTACCACCAGCTACTTGCTATGCCTAGGTCCCAGCCAGGGTACCAAATACCTGGCAAGCCTAGTGCAGCCCTTGTGGGATAGGAGCAGGCCCCTGCATGATCAGGTATGCTTTATTGATTTATGGATATTTATTTTTATACTCTTAAAAGCTTTATAAAAATCACATATTAGCAGCATACTGTCATCACTAAATTGTCTACTGCCCATGCCCCTAATTTCATGCAATACTGAAAATTTGAAATCTATAAAAAGCAATTAATGCTTAAAAACAAACATTGATTTTGGCTGTCAGTTATAAAATAAAAAATCAAATTCTGCCAAGCCTAGCTATGGGCTTTCACAGGTAAAGAGCTTGACTCACTGGGCCATTCAACATTTGACAAGATGTACCAAACCCCTAGTTTTTTCTTGTTCATGCTCTCTCATTAGGCTCTTTCATCTTAGTTCTTGTCTAGTCTTTATCATTCCCCTGGATGTTCCTGTAACAAGTCTTGAGGGTAGCTACAGGCATCCTACAGTGCAGCTGGGGTTCATGGTGGGTGGTGTATGCTCTGGAACCTCTCACCAAGCATACGCTGTTGCCACATGCCCTCTGGGCCCTTTGTTCATTAATTTAGTTACCCTTTCAGCACCTAAGCTATACAAGGCAATGCTATTATCCTAACTGTGCATGTAGGAGGTTGAGAGACTGAGACTTCCCATTGAGCATGGAACTGAAATTGCCTCTTCAGGGTCCCAGGCTGCTGCTGTAAGCTACAAGCCAACTTTCCTTCCCTCTTGCATACAACTTCATATGCAACAAAGTATATGTTGTACTTGCATTTCAAAAGAAGGCAGTACTTGGGTATAGCTATAGTTCAGGGGGATTTGTTCAATGGTAGGTACATCTCCCCGTGTGCCTATAGAGCCAGGTAATCCAGCAGTATTCTGTTTGAACTTGCTACTAACTTAAAACTCTTTGGCTGGGGCGGGGGAGAGGGAGTAGGAGGGAAGAATGTCTTGTTTTTAGTTCCCAGTCCAGTCAGGGCCTGGCACAGAACCCAGGCAAACAACCTGACTTAAATGTTCCTCTGCTTTCAAAGATACTGAAGTGCAGACAGCTATTCTGTTTTTCCACACCAGCCTTGAACTTTCACAGCAGTTCAACAAGCATCCTGGAGATCCACATTGATGGTTAACAAAAGGGGTGGTAGCATGAACTGCCCAGATAGCCTTGGGACCCTGAACTGATGGCCTTTCTTCTTTGAGGTACTGGTAGATGGCATTTCTGACAGACTTCCTCGAAGCCTCTGCATGTAACAGCACAAACAGAAGTGATTTTGTGCCACTTGGCCCTTGAAAGTACAGTCCCCTACAAGGAGCAGCTACATCTGCACAGGTGATTGAACCAGCAATCAGGATGTGGGAGGGCCTAGTTGGGTTGTCCCTGCACTAGGGGCAGGGTCCCAGGTGCCAACTGGAACCAGCTCTGGGGCCACAGAAGCACCCAGAGCTCCCCTAGGTACAGGACAGCTGGCTGGGGGCTAGCAGAGCTCTGGCCAGTTTATAATGCAGGCAACAGTGCCCCCTGCTGCCTGGTCTCTGTCAATGCATGGAGGCACTGAGCTTCTCATGCACAGGAGTGGCACTTGTTAGGTTTTGATGATGCTTGGTGCAAGGTGCTTAATGTTACAGTGTGATGGATACCTTCTGTTAACACCCACAGTGACAAATACATGGCTGAGGTCTTTCCATCTTGTGCTATTCCACAGACAATAGGTGTCAATTATACTTCCTAGGCAGAGAAAGCATTCCTAATTCACTCTCCAGATTGCTGTCCTCTGAAGAAGCAGTCACAGTGTATGGTAAGGTCCATATCTGCATGACAGCAG